AAAAAAAAAAAAAGAAAGAAAAAGAAAAGGTAGTGGTGACTAGAAGAGAAAGTACATAAGAGATATTTCTAATCAAAGTCAAAAATCTTGTTGATACATTGAACATTTCATATGTGACACTCACTTGATTAGTAGACAAGTTGATGATTATTGCATCTGTGTGTATGGATGCTATAGTCATATTTACATGCTAAGAAACTACTACCAACAAATTACAGAAAAAAAAAAAGAAAAAGAAAAAGACAAGCTCAACACTGAATTCATAGAAAAAAGAAAATTCTCAAGCATCAAATCACAGGAAATAGAAAAGTACAGAAATCTGAAGACTTGCATGTACAACCACTTAAAAACAACTAAGGAGGCTTTCAGCAACAAATACCAGCTACATCTGGCCTTGCAGCAAGTAGTAAACTAAGTGTGTTAGCCACACTCACTATGTGTGTAAAAACTCAATAAAGTGCCCCAAGCAGAGATAAAGCTCTGGCTGTTTTAGGCTATATGGTTTAGGGAAAAGAGACCACAAGATTTCTTCCACCCTGGTTTGATAAAATGAATATATCTCTGCAATAAAATAGGAGAGACAGACAAATATGAGGTTCAAAGCATATAAACATATTAAATGTAGAAAGTGGTTCTCTAACTTTACAAAGGCAGGCTAGTAAAAACAATTTTTTTCATAAAGAAAAAAAAAATAGCAAGTAGTTCTCTAAAACAACTGTGGATATGGCCTTAACAGAGCTGACTACTATAAAAGACAAGATACCAAAGGAATCGTTACCCTTAACTGTAACTATTAGGTACCTAAAACGACCCCTGGGATCCCAATATTTTGTAGACAGGAAGCAGGTTCAGAAATGGTATAATCTTCAAAATCCATTTGAAATATAGTCAACAAAGATATTAAAAAATAAAAACACCAACAAGACCACAAGGAGCAACATACTAGGAACCCGGTCAAAAAACTCTGAAAAGATAATCATGGTAAATAAAAGAGCAATCCCTACTCGTGGGCAAAGGCTCTTATTTAACCTATCCAGTGAGATTTTAAAATTGTTACTAGTGATAGCTGTGTGTCTCTGATTTTTCACCTTTCCTATTGCGAATGTTTACAGTAAACACCCTACCTTTGTCTCACCACTGTATACTAGGCATGTTGGGAAAAAACAATTTAGATTGTAGTTCTAAAAAGGGACCATATCTGGACCTGATAATGTACAGACTGCAGCACACTATTCCCCTCCTATTACCCAGAGTTCCTGGACTTCTGAGCTTGAGGCCCCAGCTGAATGGAACTTTCAGATTTTCTCCCAAGAGGACAAGATATGTTAATTTGCCTATGAGATGGAGACTCCGAATATTTGGTGAACAAAAGAAAAGAATGTGGTATATTTGTGCTATTCACTAAGTATTTCCAGTTCTCTCCCTTCTAAGTTCATAGTAGGCTCTCACTCTCTGGCCCCATTATGATTGGGTGGAACCATGTGGATATGAATTGAAATCGAATGTGTCACTTCCAGGCCAGAGTATTTAATTACAGATACAAATCTAACACAGCTCTATTTCACTTCGAAATTATATCAGGTAATGTTCCACGTTGGAATTACACTATCAGCTGAGTTCCGAAGGTGAGGACAACATGAGACAGGGCCCCAAGACAGACCTCAATGAGTATGTAGCATGAGTAAAATATCAACTTTTGCTATTTGAAGCCAGAGAGTTTAGGGCATAACCAAGTCTATCTCTGCTAATGTATGCCTCATGCTGTTTCTATCCATTCATAAAGTTTTATATTTCATATCTCTTGACAGTCTGGTACTTCACTACCTAAAGCAGTATAATTATATTTGTGTATTTCTCTGTGTATTTCCTCTTCCAAGCCACTTATTAAAATGACATTGAAAAATATTTAATAGAACTGACCCCAATCTTGAGAATAGGGTGGTTCATTTATAATCTCCATTTAAATTCTACTCCTAATTGTATTTCTTAATTCTTAGTAAATTTTCTTCCAATGATATAACACAGATGCTCTACATGAAGTCAATTTAATTTTCACATACCAAATTTTATATCTTTGAGAAATATTGCTAGGAAATTCTTACATACATTATTTATGCTATGACCCATCTATAAATCTTCTTCAGCTGCTTTGTTTAATGAAAAGCAGCTAATAATTTAAGTTGTTTAAGATATTAAATCAAGAAAAGAAAAAAATTTGAACAGAAAAACTCAAATAGAAGCCAATTCCTATATAAAATGAAAGGTAACATAAACATACATAAGTGATTTAAAAATTCAAGTATTATTTATAAATCTTATCTCACTAAAAACCATTTACTTGCCATAATGCATTCATGGATATCTCTTTGCTTCTGTTATTTGGAGAATATATTATAACCCATAAATTAACACAAGAATAATCATTAATGTGGGGGAGAACCACATATTTCGGGTCTTTCGTTCTATTTTGAGTCTGTCATAAAATTCTCAATCTTTGAGTTTACATAAGCATATTTTTTCTCCAAAATACACCAAGGAAAGTAAATGGAATGGAACTGAATAAACAGTTATAGAGCTCTCAGGGGAGAGAGTCAGGAGAAAAGTATAAATATATAATGGATGTGCACTTTTATTACCTGAGCATTTAGCAACTCCTCACACTTGTGTGCCTGTTTCTCAATTGCAGAAATGTACTGTTTTTCAATAGCTTCTACTTGTTGCTTAACTGAAGACTGCAGTAGTGCCTGAAAACAAGCAAAAAAATCATTTGGATCACAGACAAAACTTGGAATCTACTGTTGGCATAAGAATATTTTTGACAGTTGTACATACTGTAATATGATATTCTCCTAAATTACAAAATATGTATTTGTTAATACTGAAGCACACTTATATATAACATTACTTTCAGCTTTTGCTTTTACATTTTCCTATTGCCAAGATAACAGTTTTTTGGCTCAGACATTCCTTCCACACATCTTCTCCTTAAAAAGGCCAAGTCATAGAAGATGATAGAGAGGGTGAGTAGTTCTGTTAACTATAAATTTGGTTCAGTGAAGACCACACAGGATGAAGAGTGTATGAAAACTGCTGAAAAAAAGAAAAAAAAAAAAAAGAAAGAAAAGGAAAAAAAATCCAGACATATTTCACTGGCTGACAAAACTCCACATCCTCTCGGCACACTGTAATATCCCATGGGCCAAGCATGATCTTCAAGACCACAAGTCAAGTAAAAGCAGATGGAAACTTTGAGCAACTTCAAACATAAAAGAACTGCCCCCCCCCCCCCCCCAGAAAGTTCACGCTCCTAATGTGAAAAGGTATAAGTCAAAGTACGTAAGTCAGAGTCTCAAGGCAGTACGCATAAAAAGTAATAAAATTTGGGAGACTGGGCACACTTAATTGGATACTGTAAATGCTGCAACTCAAGTCAGATAAATATAAAGATATTACCACTGTTTCAAGGAAAACCAAATCAGCATTTGATGATGTTCCACCCACTCACTTCCTTATTAGAGATGCTTAGAATATTATCATCTTTTTTCTTTCCCACTGTTTAGCTTTGTATGTTATATCAACAAGTTCTCAGTAATATCTTTCATGCTATTTATAAACTCTAAATCATTCTATTAGAACTATAGCAAATATTCTATTTTTAAATGTCTGTTTAAATAATAAACTACTCATAACCAAAATAATAAGTTGAAACAGACACATCTTATAGAAAACAGACCGTTGGCACATTCACCAAGAAAAAAAAAATCAGCCAAATCTCTTAATCTCTGTTATGAAAATAGATTTACTTGGTTGAAAACACCATGCAATAAGATGCTGGATAAATAGGCATGTATTTTTTAAAGCTGAGACAAAAATATTTGTGAAACTTCTAAATAAGTCTCAAATTTTCAAATAACTAACTTTCTTGCGCAAAAGTAAGACTCTGATGATGCTACTACTCCTACAATTCAGTATTCGTCACTATGAAGCTGCAAAATTAGTAGCAAATTAATAAAGGAAAATGAAGCTCTGAGTTTTATCAAAATATAAGGAAAATGCTTACTAGAATTGCTTTAGCCCTTGATTTACAGTGCCTTCCAAAGATTCCACAATGATTAATTTATGTAAGGCACAAAAGCTTAATCCTTTTAAACTGTGACTAGATGATATAAATCTAGTTTACCTGTGTGGAAACATACTATTTGTTGGGATTTCAGAAAAGTTAAAAAATAATATAATTATAAAAAATTTCCTTAGAATAATCACAGCATCTTTGGTAAAGAGAAAAAAATGACATTCTATTTGGGGACTTGGGATATTATAGAATCATTTTGCTTAATAGAAACAACTGCGTTCACTTCCCTATTTGCCATGGTTCCAAATAATCCCACACTTTAAATATTCAACATTTAAATACTCAATATTCAACTGCAATTTGTAGTATATTATATCCTTTGGAGGACAGGTGAGTTAATAAAATAAAATAATATTCTCACTCCATAATTAAGAAACACAATTTGAATAGGGTAGTCGTCCTCTAGGGATTGATTTGTATACCATATACTCATTCTCCTTGAAATGGCAAGGAGGATAATGAGTAAAATAAGAGCCAAAGATGTGATAAGGGAGCGTAAAGGAAATTTATGCAAGAGTAACTGGCCTCCTACATATTTCAAATGTCTCATCTTAGCCCCATTCAGTCATTTAAATCCATGGATCAACAAAAGGCCCACAAAGGTAGGTATATAATGATTTTTTCAAAAGTCTTCCACGTTGTGCTCAGTCTGAAGTTGAAGACAATCATTCCCTTGATAATCACACACTGTAGGTATATGCTGGATGCCTATCAGAGAAAGAAAGTTGCCCCAACCCTGGTGACCTGTTATACTCACCACTATACACAAAGGACATTCAAAGATAAGAATAGCTGTTCCTTGTATATTCTGGATATTAGTCCTTTGAATCATATGGTGAAGATTTTCTCCTACTCTGCGCGTTGTCTGTTTACTCTGCTGACTGTTCCTTTTGCCATGCAAAAGCTCCTTAGTTTAATTAAGTTCTGCCTATTTATCTTTGTTTTTACTGCATTTGCTTTTGGGTTCTTAGTCATGAAATCCTTGCCTAAGCCAATGCCTAGAAGGGTTTCTTCAATGCTATCTTCTAGAATTTTTATAGTTTCAGGTCTTAGATTTAAGTCCTTGATCCACCTTCAGTTGATTTTTGTATAAGGTGCAAGATGAGGATTCAGTTTCAATCTCCTAGATGTGCCTTGTCAATTATGCCAGCACCATTTGTTGAATAGGGTGTCCTTTCTCCATTTTATGTTTTTGCTTGCTTTCTCCAAAGGTAGTATTTTGATGGAAATTGGGTTGAATTTGTAGACTGCTTTTGGCAGTATGGTCATTTTCACAATATTGATTCTACCCTTCCATGAGCATGGGATGTATTTCCATTTGTTTGTGTCATCTATGATTTCTTTCAGCAGTGTTTTGTAGTTTTCCTTATAGACGTCTTTTGACGCCTTGGTTACGTATATTCCTAAGTATTTTATGTTTTTGTAGCTATTCTAAAAGGGGCTGAGTTCTTGATCTGATTCTCAGTTTGGTTGCTGTTGGTGTATCGCAGAGCTACTGATTTGTGTACATTAACTTTGAATCCTGAAACTTTGATGAATTAATTTATCAGTTCTAGGAGCTTTTTGGAGAAGTCTTTAGAGTTTACTAGGTATACAATCATATCATCAGCAAAGAGCAACAGTTTGACTTCCTCTTTACCGACTTGGAAGCCCTTTATTTCTTTCTATTGTCTGATTGCTCTGGCTAGGACTTACATTAGCAAGAAAAAAACAATCCCGTCAAAAAGTGGATTAAGGACATGAATAGACAATTCTCAAAAGAAGGTATACAAATGAAACATATGAAAAAATGCTCAACATCACTAATGATCAGGAAAATGCAAATCAAAACCACAATGCAACAAATACCACCTTACTCCTGCGAGAATGGCCATAATCAAAAAATTAAAAAAGTAAAAAATAGATGTTGGAAGGGATGTAGTGAAAATTGAACACTTTTACACTGCTGGTGGAAATGTAAACTAGTACAACCACTATAGAAAACAGTGTGGAGATTCCTTAAAAAACTAAAAGTAGAAATATCATTTGATCCAGCAATACCACTACCAGGTATGCACCCAGAGGAAAAGAAGTCATCATACGAAAAAGATACTTGAACACACATGTTTATAGCAAAACAATTCGCTATTGCAAAAATGTGGAACCAGTCCAAATGGCCATCAATCAGCGAGTTGATAAAGAAACTGTGGTATAAATATATGATAGAATAGTACTCAGCCACAAAAAGGAATGAATTAATGGCATTCACAGCAACCCGATGGGACTGAAGACTATTGTTCTAAGTGAAGAAACAGAAATGGAAAACCAAACGTCGTATGTTCTCACTTATAAGTGGAAGCTAAGCTATGAGGTTGCAAAGGCATAACAATGACACAATGGACTTTGGGGACTTGAGGGAAACGGTAGGAAGGGGGTGAGGGATAAAAGTCTACAAGTTGGGTTCAGTGCATACTGCTCAGGTGACGGATGCACCAAAATCTCACAAATCACCACTAAAGAACTTACTCTTGTAACCAAATATCACTTGTTCCCCCCAAAACCTATGGAAAAAAAAATTAAAAACAAAACTAAGAATAGCTGGAGTACCGAAGCTGGAGTTAAGAGTGGAGCTAAATGATTAGGCAAGAAGGCAGGTGTCAGGTATTAAAAGAACTTGTATGACAACAAGGAGTTTAAGCATTGGTCCTACTGCTCAACACTGTGATGACTAGTGCCATAATCCAAGCAAACAAGGTAATTTCCAAAACTGCCCCTACTACTAGATTAAGCACTGTGGATATACAAATACACATTGATACTAGCCACATGCCTTTATAACTTGCTCTATTATTATATAACTGAATATTTATCTTCCAGTTTAATGTATCATAATACACAAAGACTCCTTTACGTTTCTCATATCTCATAATACAATCTTAACATCTGCTGACTTATTGTCTTCTTCTGTAACTGTCTCTACAGATACCCAAGACAAAGAGGCCTTCCTTGAGCTTATACAACATTTAAAAAAGATATATGAAAGAATAATTTCATTTCTAATCTATTTTCAACTATTTAAACACCCATAAAGCATTAAGACTCTCACAGTATATACAGATAGAAATGCCAAGATACATACCAACATACTCTATATTGAAAAGAATGCTATCAAGGGCAGAAAATGTTTTGTTGATTTTGAATATATTTACATCTTAGCCACAGTTTTATCAGAGATTTATAGTATTATCCAAGAGGATTTAATTCACTAAGCTTAAGGAAAACTATCACAATTGAAGAATAATTTTTAGGCCGGGCAGAGTGGCTCACACCTGTAATCCCAGTACTTTGGGAGGCCGAGGCGGGCGGATCACGCTGTCAGCAATTCGAGACCAGCCTGACCAACATGATGAAACCCTGTCTCCACTAACAATACAAAAATCAGCAGGGCATCATGGTGTGTACCTGTAATCCCAGCTACTCAGGAGGCTGAGGCAGGAGAATCACTTGAACCCAGGAGGCGGAGGTTACAGTGAGCTGAGATCATGCTGTTAACCTCCAGCCTGGGTGACAAGAGCAAGATTCCATCTCAAAAGAAAAGAAAAAAATAAATTTTAAAGTGTTAAAATATTTCTA